GCCGGCGCTGGACGGCCCCTCCTGCCTCGGCTGGCCGCCCAATCAGCAAGCGCCCCCCGCCCGGCCCGCCCCTCCCCCGCTGGTGACAGAAAGTCGGCCCAGCAGATGAGGAAGTGGCAGGCAGGCTGGCCCTGGGGACTCCTCTCTGGTCCTGCTCCCTCCGAGCCCTCCATCGCTGCCCGCCTGGCCCCTACTGGTGAGTCTGGACCTGCCAGGGCTCTCCATGTGCCGGCGCCCCCCTGCCTGGCTATCCTGGCCCAGCCCAGCCCTGCTCTGCCCTGCCCTGCCCAGGCTGTGGGCGAGGCTGTTCCTGGGGCGAGTGGGTGGGAGGTCCCAGCTCCCTGGGGCCGGGCCTCACCAGCACCTTCCTTCCCCCGGAACCCCCCTGTCTGCTTACACCTAGGCCTCCCTCCACCACCTCCTGGGTTTGCTCCCTTCCCTCCCCTTTCGCTCTCCTTACTCCGTCTCCTTCTCTGGTCTGGCTTTCCCTTCCATCCATCTTAAAGGAAGGCAGGAGCAGGCTGAGTTCCCCTAAGGGGACACACCCAGATTTCCCCATGCTCTGGATCTGCGGGGTGCCTGTATGTTGGTGTGTGTGTGTGGTCGTGGGTGCACCTAGGAGGCGGCGGGAGAGATAACCAGCTGGCCAACTCACATGTGTCAGAGAGGAACTTGTGTTAGAGCACATGCCCCAAGCTGGCAGGCCCTGCTGTGGTGCTGCCTCGGCTGGCCTGGGCAGGGAGTGAGGACTGGCAAGGGCTAACAGAGATCCGTGCGTGACCCAGGGCAGGTGCGTACGGGGAGGGTGACCGGGTGTTCCCTCACCTTCCAGTGGCTCACACGTGTGAGTACAACAATGTGTGTCACCTGCAGCGGGCGTGGACCTGTACTTGGGAGCATGTGCCCTTGCACATGGTAACGCCAGGGCCTGAAGGGCAAGTACAGAGTACTGAGTAGGAGCGAGCATGTGCAGAGCGGGCATGAGGCCCCTCGTTGGTCGTTATCTATGGAGGCCGGTCCCCATGGGCTGGCCAAGGCTGTGCCTTCTCTCTGGCTGCATTGCCCTGAGCTCTTGGCAGCTTGCTGTCTGTGGCCTGCCAGCAGGCGGTGTGTGAGCTCTGTGTGCTTGTGTGCCAGCCCTCCGTGTGGGTGTTCATCACGGAGGTGGTGGGGAGAGGAGGGCCGGTGACTGGCAGGTGTGAGTGTAGGGTGTGCATGTGGATTGCAACTCTTGGGGCCTGGCCCTGGTGCGTCTGAAGGAACGTGGGCCAGCAGGGTCATGTGGGGAGGGCCCCTTGGAGGGGTGTGTGTGTGGGGGGGGTAGCGCCTCTGGTGGGAGGTGTCAGAGGTTGGTTTCTTCATTTGGCACTTGCCCAGATTGGTGCCAGGATGGAGGCAGACAGGCACACCTGTTGCTGCCACTGTTGCCGTTCTCCAAAGGAAGGCCTTATCCCTGTGTGACTGTCTCAAATCCCAGGCTCTCCTGGGTCTGGGCTGAGGCTTTTGTGTCCCTGAGCCCTCCCCCGACATTCCTTAGGCTCTGAGGGGGAAGGGGCCTAGCCTATCAGGACCCCTCCCTGAGGGAGGGGAGGATTCCTGAGACCTCCCCCACCCCCCCACCTCCTCACATGCCACTGGCTTCCCTGCCCTTCCCTGCAGGGAAGGGTGCTTATACCCAGTTCGGAAGTAGGGCAAACTAAGAATTTATGACTGTTTCAGGGGAGGATACAGGGAGTGGATTTTCAGCAATTCCTGGGGCCGAAGCTGGGGCTAGGATTGGGATCTGGGCTGGGACCAGAGGGGATTTCCGAAGTGCTCAGGACTTCTGTCCTTTTAGTTCTGGTCCACAGTGGGTGGGTGGTTGGTGAGTCTGGGGCTTTACTTGGCTTTCCCAATCCTGGTGGGTCGTGCTCCCCAGGCACTGACCTGTGGCCTGGACCCACCCTCCACCCCATGCCCAACACGGCGGGGGCGGGCAGAGGGCGGGGCTGCTGCCAGATCTAGTCAGACAGGTGGAGCCGCCGGGGCAGGAGTCTCAAAGAGGAGAGCTCTAGGAGAGGAAGGGCTGTGTGACCAAGAGTCCTGGAGAGGAGGAGAGGAAAGGCTGGAGGTGAGCGCTCGCCTGCTAGGGGAGGGTGGAGGAAGAGGCCCTGGGAGAGGAGGAATCAAAGGCCTAGAAGGTTCTGGAAGGGGCAGGAGGGACCTGGGAGATGAGAGTCCCGGCAGGCAGGCAGGCAGGCAAGCGGCATGCGGAGGAAACTTGGGGAGCTGGGACTGTCAGGAAGGAAGCAGAGGGGAGAAAGTGAAGGAGGGAATTCCTGGAGGAAGAAAAATGCTGGGGGCTGGGGTGGCTATGAGAGACTTGGGCTGGGAAGGGAGAGGAGGCTATCGTTTTGGCGAAGAGCTCTTGGCTGGAGGTGAAATTCCAGGAAGAGAGTTCTCTTGTGGTGAAAGAGGGGGAGGCAGGAGCTAAGACTCTGGAGAGGAGGAGGAGAGGCTGAGGTGTGGAGAGGAAGGACCAGTCCTCCGGCAGGTTGAGGTGCTCACAGCAGGTGCCCCACCAGGCCCTCCTGCTGCCTCCTACCTCTGCCCCCAGCCGTGCCTGCCTCTTGCTCTGTCCTTGTAGCCGTGAGGTGTCAGCAGATGACCTGTCTGCATCTGGGTCTTGTCTCGGAGGGTCAGGAGTGGGACAGGGATGTGTGTGCCATAGGCCTTGTCTGACGTCCACCCTCCGCATCTCCCCAGAGTCCTTAGCCAGGATGGAGGCTCTTACGAACTTGTACCAAGAGATGATGAAGAACGCAGGTAAGATGCTGTCCCCCAGCTCTCTCCTCCCTCCTGCCCTCAGACCCCTGGTCACGGGCTGCCTCCTGGTGCACAGATCCTATGAATCAATTGACCCTTTGTGAGCTGATCTCGCGTTGAGTCTTTGGACCCAGTGACCCTTCCTGTCTCTTTCGGCCCTTCTTCACAGATCCCCGGATGCAGGGTTACCCTCTGATGGGGTCCCCCGTGCTGATGACCTCCATTCTCCTTACCTACGTGTACTTCGTCCTTTCCCTTGGGCCTCGTATCATGGCCAATCGCAAGCCCTTCCAGTTGCGTGGCTTCATGATTGTCTACAACTTCTCCCTGGTGGCTCTCTCCCTCTACATCGTCTACGAGGTGGGCCTGGGACCCAGAGGTGGCAGTTCCCACCAGCAGGATCAAGGCGTGGGCTGTGAAGGCCAAAAAGGCTTATAGCTGTCCATCAGCTGGAGAGGGGAGGGCATCTCTGGAAGAGGGACTCCCTGTGGGTCTAATCTACATGCTTTCCTAGTTCCTAATGTCTGGCTGGCTGAGTACCTACACCTGGCGCTGTGACCCTGTGGACTATTCTAACAGTCCTGAGGCGCTTAGGGTAAGTAAAGGTTGAGACTAGATTGTAAGCAGCCCCAGGGTGTGGAGGGAAAGTTTGGGTGGGATGGGAGCTCCTGGCTCAGACTAGGAGAAGTCTCAGAGACGTGTGGGGGGATCCTAAGGCTGCCCTGACTTCTTGCAGATGGTTCGAGTGGCCTGGCTTTTCCTCTTCTCCAAGTTCATTGAGCTGATAGACACGGTGAGTAGTTAGATGTGAGCACAGTAGGGGCACGTGGGCAGAGAGAGGCCCTCGCTCTGATATTCATGTTTCCCCATTCTCCCAGGTGATCTTCATCCTCCGGAAGAAGGACGGGCAGGTGACCTTCCTCCATGTTTTCCATCACTCCGTGCTGCCCTGGAGCTGGTGGTGGGGGGTGAAGGTGGCCCCAGGTGAGTGGTCAAGAGGGGAAGAGGGGGTGGGCAAGGGCAGCTGAGGTTGCATGCTCAAGACCCTTCCTGTCATCCACTCGCAGGAGGGATGGGCTCTTTCCATGCTATGATCAATTCCTCCGTGCACGTCGTCATGTACCTGTACTACGGATTGTCCGCCCTCGGCCCTGTGGCTCAGCCCTACCTTTGGTGGAAAAAGCATATGACAGCCATTCAGCTGGTAAGAAACCTGGACTGTAGCACCCCTCCCAGCCGCTAGTCTGGTTCCTGTGTTTCTCCAACGACAGTCTCTCACCTTTGATCCCATCCCTCCCCACTCAGTGTTTGTCTCCTCCGCCCCCTTTCCCTCCAGTCCCCTCAGTGTCCTCTGCCCTTATTTTCTCCTAGATCCAGTTTGTCCTGGTCTCACTGCATATCTCCCAGTACTACTTCATGCCCAGCTGCAACTACCAGTACCCAATCATCATCCACCTCATCTGGATGTATGGCACCATCTTCTTCGTGCTCTTTTCCAACTTTTGGTATCAGTCTTACACCAAGGGCAAGCGGCTGCCCCGTGCACTTCAGCAGAACGGAGCTCCAGCTATTGCCAAGGTCAAGGCCAATTGAGAAACATGGCCTAGATAGGCGCCCACCAAAGTGCCTCCGGACTGCACCTTGGGCAGCACTGACAGTGACCTTCCCACCTACGTCTGAACAGGACTGAGCAGGGGACTGCCCCGCCCCTCCCCACAGCTGGTCTGCAGGGACCACTGTCTCCAATCCTCACCCACTCCTCCAGGCCAGCTCCAGGAAGGTGGCATTGCCCTCTGCCACACCAGAGCCGGGGAGCTCAAAGGGCTGGACACTTACCTCCCTGCCTTAAATGTGGGAGAGGAGCACTCAGGGCTGGCCCTCACCAGGGCCTGGTGGCCTTTTTCCTCACACTGAAGAGGTCAGCAATAATCTGTCGCTGTGGACCCCAGGCTCCCTCCTCCACTCCACACTGAAGCAGGAGCTTCTGGCCAAAGGTCATGGTGAACGGGGGGCCTGGGCAGGCAGCCCGGGGAGGCTGCTTACTCACTAGTGTCTTAATTAAAAGTGACAGAGGAAAGAAACCACTAAGGCTGTGTGTGCATGTGTGATGGAGGTGGGGTACGCGGCCCGGAGACAGGTCAAGGCTCCCCTGTCCACCCCGAGACAGCTGCTAGGAAAGAAAGCATACGAGAAGAAAGGAAGACATGACTTTATTAAAAAAGTAAAAAAAAAAAACAAAAACAAAAAACAGGTGCTGAGTGGGGCTTTAACGAATGCCTTGGTGGATGAGGCTGCTTTTCGACGCGCTGGCTTTTTCCCGCTCCCGCCGCCGTGCAGGGTCCAACTCAAAGCAGCGCCACAGCCGCAGAGTCTCATCTGCTGCTGCTGATGCCACTGTGGCCCCATCCGGGCTCATGGTCAGACTCAGGACGCGGGCTGTGTGACCTGTGGCAAATGAGGAAAATGCATGTGAATGTCACATCCAGAGCATTCCAATTTAGATGACAATGAATTCATATGCCATAAAAGTATCCTTTGGAAGTCTATAAAGTGTACAGTTAAGTGGTTCTTCACAATTTCCTAATTCCAGAATATTTCCATCACTCCCCGTTACCCCTGCTCTCCAGCCCCTGGCAGCCATGAACCTGATTTGTCTGATTTTGCCTCTTGGACACAAAAAAATGTAGTCCCTCAGTATGTGGCCTGCCTTTGATTGAGCCACCTACCTTTGAGCTCAGCCACCTTGGCCATGGTTGGGTACTTCCAAATAACCAGCTGGTTCTGGGCAAAGCCGTGGCCGGAGATGAGCTCCTTGTAGTGGGAAGACCAGAGGATGGAGCACACCTGTGGAGAGGGGACGGCATGGGCATGACATCTTCTGCCAAGGCTACTCAAATGAGAACACAATCCATTAAAGTGTTGGGCACCCTGCCAGGTGCCACACACTAGACTTGAATGATGGCAGTCCTTGGAGAGGATCAGTCTTCATTTTACAGATGAGGAATCGATCAGAAGGAAGTTCAACAAGCTACCTCAGGGCACAAGCAAGTGAAGTTTGCAGGAAACAGAGCCAGAGTTTAGATGTGGGCCAGCTGTTCCTCGAGCCCAGGTCCAGAGCGTGCTCTCTCTGGAGGCGGGCAAGCAGAGGAAAGCCGAGTGGGGGCAGGGAAGGCCGCCAGCCTTCTAATGATGTGGATGATGGGGAGCCATTACAGGTTTCAGGAGAGTAACAGACAACGGTGCAGATGCACTGGAGGAGTGTTGACTGGCTACCAGGGAGGAAGCAGCTCTTACGGGGCCACAGCTGGAGCGAGGGTGATGGAAATGATATTCCAAGGTAAAACTGAGCAATAAAGTCTGGTGGTGAGGAAGATGCTAGGAAGCTCTAGATTCCTGAGTTTGCCTTTCCATTACAAAGCAATGAAAGAGGAAGAGAAACATGCTTTGGGAGGCAAGGGGAAGTGACTAGTATAATTTGGGACAGACAGGTGATGTGGGACCTTCGGGACTCAGGGTTGGAGATACACCATGAACTGGAAGGAAATGAAGTTTGAGAGCCACGAAGTCCAGAGCTGCCCTCAAGGGGACACACAGAGAGCAGAGGCAGGAAGATTACCTGGGAATGGGCATCCACAGCATTCAGACAGGCCCCTGAGCACACGTTCCAGATGCGAATGTGTCGATCACTGGTGCCCCCTCCTGTTGCCAGGATATTGGATTGCCAGGGACACCAAGCTACAGCCTAGGTAGGATAAAGCTGGGGTCAGCAAGTACTAGAGCTTGGCACGATGACAATGAACCAGAGTGGTCCCTGTGGACCCTGGCCCAGCCAGTCATCCGCTCTCCGCACCATCACATGCCCCAGGTCTCAAACCAGAGCCCCAGCTCTCACCTTGACAGCCCCTTGATGCTGAGTGAATGTCTGCAGGGGAGCCCAGCCAGCCTCTCCAGGGGCACTGGGCCACACGTTCACCACGTTATCGTTGCCACCACTAGCCAAGTGTCGTCCATCTGGGGCCCAGCGCAGCCCACACACTTCCTGGCTGTGACCACTCAGTGTGGCCACGTGGTGATCTGCTACCCGAACATCGTGGTGGTGTATGTGGCCGGAGCGTGAGCCACTAGGGGAGGAAGGAGGGAATCAGGAACATGGCATTATCAAAAGGCAAGGCAGCCAGAGCTGCTTCTCTTCAGGGATGTACGTGGGGTGTTCAAATATTCCAAGGAAAATGCATATTATCAAACACTGGATATGGATTTCAAATGGAAGTGGGGATGGGGAGGACACTCAATTAACTTCAATCTTTGAATTCACTCTTCTATAAACTATTGAAAAAGCCCACCCCCCCAAAAAAGAAAAATTTTTTAAAAAAGCCCACTTACCTGGAGAGGATATAGCTGTTCCAACTCAAGGCGCCCACTCGGGAAGAGTGACTAGTCATGTTGCGGAGCCGCTTCTGCTGCTGCACATCCCAGAGCTGGAGAGACCGTGAGGGTTAGAGACGGAGCCGGGTGCATCCCAGGCACCTAGACAGCCGGCGCGGGCCCCCAGCCTCACCTGCACCTCCGCACTGCTGGTGCCCACAGCCAGGTAGTTGCCTTCCTTGATCCAGGCCACAGAGGACACGTAGTCCCCAGGCTGTTCCATTTGCAACAGTTGCAGGATATCACCAGAGCTTGCACTCCACAAGTAAACGCTGTTGTCCAGGGCTACCGCCAGGACATTCCCTGAGCTCCAGTCAATCAGATTCAGGTCTGCCAAGAGGCACAGGGGAAAGAGCATGAGCTTGCTGAGCTTGCCTGGCCCCCTTTCTCCATGCATGGGGCAAGGGTGAGGCTGCACTTACAGTAGTCATTCCGGATTTCGGGGGCATCCAGGATTCGGTCTGGTAGGGAAGGAATGTAGCGGCAGGTCTTCCGGCTAGAGCCAGGCGTGGCCTTCTGGCTGTACAGCACTTTCAGTCTGTTCTGGTAACCTGTGGCAACCGAATAGGTATAGACGCTGGAGCAAGTGATACCTCCCAGGCCCTCAGCCCAGGCTGGTTGGAGTAGGCAGGCATGGCGCCCACACCCCTTCCATGATCCTGGCCATGGGCTTGACACCTCCCTCCAAGGACCAACGACAGCGGGTCTCACCTTCCGGGGCATTCTGTGGTTTGCCACTGAGCCGAAGGATCTTGGCTTCCTCCACATCAAAACCGTTCAGGTTCAGAGCCCAGGCCTTCTGATGCTCCTGGTGGGCATGGGGGTGGCGGGGGAGGCACAATGGTTACCACCCCAAGCACACGGGCAGGTGTGTGTGTGTGAGGGGCAGAGGTGATTGTCCCCAGCCCCCTGCCGGATGCATACCTTCTTGGTGGGTGTCTGGCTGTTCTCAGGCTGATTCTCTTTGCTCAGGAGGAAGCTGGCCACCTCCATCTGGGAGGCACTGCGCTGGGGGATATAGCGGTCACCGCCCGGTTTGCTAGGGGTGGTCTGCGCCTTGGAATTAGACTTCCCTGAGGCGGGGACAGAGAAGCCAGAGCATCTGCCCAGATTGCTCAGAATCAACCCCAAGGCCCTCCCGGGGTCCGCCCCGCCCCACTGACCAGGAGTGCGACCCGGGGTGCGACCGGCACTGTGGGATCGGTTGACGGCCCGCATGGGTGATGGGGTCGGTCTCGCCGTTTCCTTCGCCTTGCGTTGCCAGCGCGCAGGGGGTGCATTGGGGATGGGTGCGTCCAGCTGCAGCAGCGAGTGTAGGTCACTCTCGAACACGAACTGCGACATAGCAGCGCCGCGAGGGGCAGGGGGTCCTCGGAGTTGGAACCAGCCTAGCCTAAGGGGAAAGAAACGACCGACCGTGCTCCAGAGATGATGCGGAGCTCCCTCGTTCCCGGCCGGCCATCAGGGCCCGGGTCCACGGCAGTTACCCGCGGCCTGTGGACTGCCCGGGCCGCCACCCCTCACCCCCTACCAGGTTATCCCAGTGGGTGTCTCACCGTGAGCCGGGAACAGATTCCAATCTCAGACCGGCTCCTGCACGCCTGGGCTACGCTTCTTAAACTCTCCGCTCTGAGCGCTCATTGGCTCCTTTAAAACCCAACCGTCGCAACCGTCCCCCTCGCCCATTGGTGGTTGCGGCACAGGGGGCGGGCCTTCCGGGACACGTCACCGGTCTCACGAGAGTGTGTAGCTGAGGAGGGTGATTGATTCTAAGGGTGGGAGATGGTCGTTTAAATCCCATCCCAGAGGCGTGGCGTTCCCGACTCGCTTCCATTAGCAACTGGGCGAGTCCTCACCGCCGCCCTTCGGGAGGCTCAGGCGGAGGGGTGGGGGAAGGGTGGGGCGCGGGAGGCAGCCGGCTACCGGCTAGGAGCCCTGCTGGAAAGGCAGGCGTGCCGTGTTGCTCTGGCTGTTTCACTTCTCTGGAAGAGAAGTGAGTTCCTTTAGGTCAAGAACCGGGGTCAGGATTCAAACCTGCCCATTTACTTGGAAGGTTAAATCAGACTAACTTATGGGCGTTGTCTGTTACCCTCAGGAGGCTTCAGCGCTGTCAGGAATCCGTTATGGCGCCCTCCCTAGGGACAGCTGCACCCTTAAAAATAAGATTTACTTATTTTTTATTGGGAAAGTTAGATACATAGGGTGGAGGAGAGACAGACAGGAAGATCTTCCTTCTGATGATTCACTCCCCAAGTGACCCCAACGGCTGGAGGTGCACTGATCTGAAGCCAGGAGCCTGGAGGTCCCTCCGGGTCTCCCATGCAGGTACAGGGTCCCAAGGCCTTGGGCCGTCCTCCACTGCTTTCCCAGGCCACAAGCAGGGAGCTGGATGGGAATTGGGACCACTGGGAATAGAACCGATGCCCGTATGGTATTCCGGCGTGTTTAAGGCAAGGACTTTAGCTGTTAAGGCCACTGTGCTGGGCCCCGATACCTGTATTTTTACAGGCAGAGAAACCTTGGCCCAGGGAGGGATTAGTTTGAGGTCATAGGAAGAAATTGTCCAGAATCCCTTCAATCCCATGAGAGAATGATGACTTGAATGGATTGTGGGACTGTGAACAGCTGAGCCAGCCATGATGGAAACAGTGATGGGTTTACATACCACCTGCTAACTACCGTGTGAAATCGGTTTGCTCATGTTATTGAGTCCAGCCCTTAATCCCATCAGGTGCTCTACCATCATTTGACAGGAAAACAAGCTGCATCAGAATAGGATGAGAAACTTGTTCAAAGACACACAGCCACTAAATAAATGAGGAGACAGGATTCAATCTGACTATGCCGATGGATCGTAGCAATGTGCTGATCCCAAGAAAAATCAACTTCAATCATTACCCTGACATGTACCTTGGTAATGACAGAGAAATTGTGGGACTCTTAGCCCATACTTGGGGTTAGCATTCTTGACTCAATTATTCGTAATTTAGATAATGATGAGTTGATGTCTTGGGGTGGGAAGTGAGGACCCCTGAGCCCCAGAAAACAGAAGGTCCTCTAGGATGGGGGCGGCTAGGCTTAAATGTTAAAGAATTTGGACTTCATGTGCAAGGTATTGCATTGTAGAAGCAGTAGGGAAGGGCCCTGAACAAAATAAATCGTGGGGGATAGCTGCCATTTACAACTCCCAGACTTCAGGTATTATAGGGAAGAATAAGGGCTCGTTGTACATGTAAAGATAAAAGAGGGGCTGGCACCACTGTGACACCAGCATTCCGTGTGGGCACCGGTTGAATCCTGGCTGCTCCACTTCATATCCAGGTCCCTGTGTATGGCCTGGGAAAGTAGCAGAGGATGGCCCATAAAGGACTCTGGTCTCTTCCCCAGTAGGAGACCTGGAAAAAGCTTCTGGCTCTGGACTAGCTCAGCTCCAGTCATGGCAGTTATTTGGGGGAGAGAGGGTGGAACCATCAGAGGGAAGATCTTTCTTTGAAATAAATCTTTTTTTTTTTAATATTTATTTTTATTAGAAAGTCAGATTTACAGAGACAAAGAGAGACAGAAGGATCTTCCCTCTGCTAGTTCACTCCTCAAGTGGTTGCAATGGCCAGAGCTGAATCAACCTGAGATCCGGAGCCAGGAGCTTCTTCCGATCTCCCATGTGGGTTCAGGGTCCCGAGGCTTTGGGCCTTCCCCCATTGCCTTCCCAGGCCACATGCAAAGGAACTAGAAGGGAAGTGGAACAGCTGAGACACAAACCAGCGCTCGCTCATACGGGATCCCAGTACATGCAAGGCAAGGACTTTATTCACTAGGCTTCTGTGCCGGACCCTCAAGTAAATTTTCTTTTTTTTTTTTTTTTAGATTTATTTTATTTTTATTGGAAAGTCAGATATACAGAGAGGAGGAGAGACAGAGAGGAAAGATCTTCATTGGATGATTCACTCCCTAAAGTGGCCACAATAGCTGGAACTGAGCCAATAGGAGCCAAGAGCTTTTTCTGGATTTCCCATGCAGGTGCAGGGTCCCAAGTCTTTGGGCTGTCCTCGACTGCTTTCCCAGGCCACAAGCACGGAGCTGGATGGGAAGTGGGGCTGCTGGGATTAGAACAGTTGTCCATATGGGATCCAGGTGCATGCAAGGATCTGATAGGCTACTGAACTAATAGGCTACTGTGCCGGGTCCTCAAATAAATTTTCTTTTAAAAATTGTCTTTAAAAGAGTGAAGGCAGTCCATAGTGAAGATATGAACATGAATTGTGAAGTAAGGGGAACTCTACATTGTAGAAAGTGGTTAAGTAAGATGAGAACAGAAAGATTAGATTTTTACTGTTGAAAAACAAATCATATGTGACTCTGGAGGAAGCAAAATCAGGAAAGGGGTGTGAGATCTATTCGGAGGGACAGGGAGAGTGTGCAGCCCCTCACACAGCCCTCACATAGCCCAGCCTTTGGCCTCTGTGTTACCTCGCTAGGGCTGCTAGAATTAAGCACCATCAATTGGATGGCTTAAATGACAAAGTGTGTTGTCTCACAGTTCTGGGGTCTAGAAATGTCAGATGGAAGTGTCAGCAGGGTTGGTTTCTTCTGAGGACTGTGAGAAGAATGTATTCCATGCTACTCCTAATTTCTAGTGGCTTCCTGGTAATCTTTGGCTTTCCAGGCTTATAGAAATATTATAGTGTCTACCTTCATCTTCACTTGGCTCCGTGTGTACATCTGTATAGAAATCTCCCTTTGAATTAATTAATTTTAAAGAACTGTTTAGTTTGGGCCCTGGCATGTTAGCCCAATGGTTAATGTCCTCGCCTTGCATGTGCTGGGATCCCACATGGGAGCCAGTTTGTGTTCTGATTGCTTCATTACCCGTCCAGCTTCCTGTTTGTGGCCTGGGAAGGCAGTGGAGGAGGATGGGCCAAAGCCTTGGGAAGCTGCGTTTGCATGGGAGACCTGGAAGAAGCTCCTGGCTCCTAGTTTTAGACTGTAATGAAGTAGGTAGTTAGTTCAGGTTTAGGAGCTTGGAAACTACTCTCCCACCACCACCTAGGTGTTCCCTCCTGCCTGCCTGTGATGGTCACCTATCCTCACCTGGAACCTCAGAGGGGGTGGGATTGCCCCTCACAACCCCTACCCCCTATAAAGGCCCATGATTGGGAGTGGCTCTCTCTACTGGTCCTGTGCCTCCATGGCTCTGGAGCTCTGGACTCTTGACCTCCCCAGTACCTGCTTGCTCTCTGGCTTCCCAAGGACAGGCTGAGGACAGGTATCCCCTGAGCATGGCCCCTGTATGTCTATATTCCTCACCCTCTGTTCACTGCTTAGGAGGGACAATGAAGACAGCATTACTAAGATGCTTTGTATTTCTGATGTGTGTAGTTTCGAGAGTTTCAGGAGAGGTGAGGCCTACCAGTAATGGAATGTGGGCAGAGAAGCCAGGGAAAGGTGAATGTCTGCAGCTTTGTAAGTGTGTCCAGGTTATTCATTGCATGTCTCTTAGGATAGCTTATATTGTTGGGCAAGCTGGGGCATAGTTCTTTAACTTAACGGATAAACTTCATGGTAATGATCATTTGTTCCTCTTTGGGTTTCGATTGACTGGATTGCTATATGAAATCTCCCTTTTTGTAAGAATCCCAGTCATATTGGATTAGGGTCCATGACTTTATGTTAAATTGTACCTACAATGAGTGAGCTATTTTCAGATAAAGTCACATTTAAGGTGTTAAGACGTCAACTTTTGAATTTGCTGGGGATGGGGGAGATTAAACTCAACGTATAATATCCTGTTGGTGGAATCCAAACTAAAACCAGATCCTGGGGAATGCATTAACACAGATCACACAAGTCGGTCTTGCAGAGCCCTGGGAAAGATGAAGGTCTGGATGGGGCAAATGGGTAACTTTGAGTATTCTTGCTTTCCATAAGTCCTCGTAAGTCCTTCTTCAGGCCATGTTAACGTCTAATTCTGCTCCTAGGGACTCAAGATGAGAGTGAAAGGAAAAGAAACTTGAGCTACATATTTTCCTGGCTCCCTCCAACATCCCCCCAGGTTGGGTGTATCCTTCTAGCAATGGCCACAGCTCCTGCAAAGAACCTTCTTTTACAGCTGTTTTCTTCAGCTCTGGTTACTGCTTCATCCCCCAACCCTGACTTCTAGGGGTACTGCCTGGTTCCTATGGTTAGCTACTAGAAAGGCCACTGCTGTGTTCCTGGATAGTTTTCCTTTATGTTGCCCTCCTCTTTGTAAATATGGCCCTCCTAAGTAAGTGCTCATCCCATTACCCAGTACCACCTATTTTTGCCAGGACTGTGACTGATACAGTGGGTATGTTTGGAGCCAGAAAAAAAAAAAAAAAGAAAGAAATTGGCATAGGTTAAAATAACATAGCCCGGAAAGATTTCATTTATTTAGAAAACATTTATTAAGGATCAATGTCATGTACCAAACACTACGCTAGGTCCTGGGGGAAAAGGACAAGTCAATCGTGACCCTGGCCTCAAGGAGTTCACAATCTAGCAGTGGGAGACAAATGTGTTAACAAGTTACTCGTATAACACATCACAGGACCAAAGCAGAAAGCTTAGGCCGGAGGTAAGGACTTCAGAATGGTTAACATTTAGTAAGGACAATGAATAGATAGGATTAGAGCCTGGGTGAAGAATGGAATTGCAAAGGGCTGTAATAATTAAGGGATGACAGAATAAGAAAGTAGGAAAGCACAACAATAGTTTAAGTATATTACACACTTTACTGTGTCCCAGGCACTGTGCCTTCCTCAGATGACAATCCTCACAGTTCAGTGAGTGCTGTTAGCATCCATGCTATACGGCTGAGGAAACTAAGGCACAAAGACATTATTTGCTCAAGTTTGCACAGCTGGCAATGTGAAAAACAGGAATTGAACCTAGTTCTGACTCCAGAGTTTATTTTCCTAACTACTGTTATAGTCAGAGAGGCAGGAACGGAGCCAGGAGAGAATTTCTGGTGATGGAAGCCAAAATGGGAGAGAACCTAAAGAAGAAATGAGTAGTCAGCCATATCAAAGGGCAGAGAGAGAAAGAGAGGTGCAGTGGGGTGGGGTGGGGGGAAATTGATGATTAACAGGATTCTATTAGATTTGCAATTAGACGCTTGAAGGTGAACTTTGCCTGGGCAATTTTGTAAGCAAAAGAGCAGCAGGAGAACTCATTGACATAATCTGAAGAGTTTGTAAACGGGAAGTGGGGAAACGAAGACTTATGTTCAAGGAGTTTGGCATTAAAAGGGAGAAAGAAGGTACACCTTAGAGGAACTTAGGGAGAAGAGCCCAAGTGTTGGATTGCCTGTGGGGGAAAGGTCCTGTCAGCAGCAGTATGGGCAGCGCAGTGCCAGGAAGGCCCGCAGAGGGCACGGAGGGGATGCCCCGGTGTCTGTTGGGGGTGGGGGTGCGTGGTATTTTGGAGGAGGTTCACAGATAGGTCTAGAGGGTTGGGATCTGTCCAGGGTACTGGGAGTAAGTGTCCTGCCCTCAGGGCTGCTGCCAGCAGCTTAGTGGCAAGTAGGAGTGGTTGGCAATGTGGGTAGTACAGCAGGTCCCTGGGGGCTCAGGCACTGGTGGGCACACAGCCAGGGTCGGGCTTCCTAAACAGGAGGGCTGCAGTCCTCGGTAATCCAGCTGGACCTGGGAGGAGCACAGGGGTGAGGGGGTCTGCTCGGAAGACTTCGGAAGGATTTCGAGGAGGCTGGGTTCCACTTCTTCATAGCCCTCTGAGACTGTCGCCTTCGGCTGGGAGAGATGGGAGACGAGCTGTATCAGAGCAGACACTGTGGCAGGAGGCACTGGGTGTGGAGGAAGGGCATTTGGGCTGTGGGGTGGGGGCGGTGCCTGTGCATGGTACACTGGCAGGTAGCTAACGGCCTTCAATGAGTTGCGTGGTAGGGGCGGGCGGGAGGGCACTCACCGGACTCAGAGCTGCAGTGTCCCTAAGGTACTGGCCTAGGACCCGGTGTAGGTCTGGAAGTGAGGGCCACAGGGCATGCCTCAGTCTCCTGGGGGAGAAGGGAACGGAGGAGACTGAGGCATGGGAGAGAGGTGGGGCGTCACGGGCGAGTGTAACGAGGAGGCCAGCTTCCTAGAGGAGTCTAGTGAAGGCAATGAAGTAAGGCAGAGGAGTGTAGCTGAGAAGACAATCTCAGGTGGGGTGGGGAAGTCAGCTAAGGATAGGACAGAGTTCCCTCAACCATTGCTACCACAGGGCCTTTGCACTGTCTGCTCTCTGCGCTTGGAGCACTCGCTCATTCCTTCACTTCATTCAGGTTTCTGCTCCAATGCCATTCTGACAGAGGCTGTCCTGACCACCTTGCCTGAAATAGCACTGCCTCCTTTTCTCATCACACCTGTCTCCTACTTGTTGTACTTCTGTTAACGAGACATGACTCCCTGCACATTTGCTATACTGTTACATGATTTTTTTGTGTGTGTGTTCCCGCTAAAGAATAAGCCCTGTGAGAGCAAAAAACATGTCCATTGGTTCACTCCTGTGTCCCCAGTGTCTCTCCTGGTAGGTGCTCCAGAACCTAGCTGAATGAAAGAGTGAATAAATGAATGAAGCCGGTGGAGGTTATTACTCAGTTACTCAGGAGGCGGTCCCTCTGGGAGGAGCATGGGGTTGAAGGTTACCGGGGCGATCTGCAATTCTCCAGCTGCAGATTTCAGGCCTCGCCCCTGACCTCACTCACTATCCTGGAGAAGGGAGAGTAAGCAGCCAGCATGCTTGGTTCAGTAGCACCAGCTTCCTCCTCCTCCTCCAGCCCTCTGTAGGATCTGCTACCTGCTTACAGGCTGCAATGCAGTGTGCGCCTACTCAAGGGCCCAGGGAGCTGGGAGGCCACCTAGGCCCTGAGCCAGCCTAGGATCCTCCTGAGACACTGCCCACGGAGCAGAGCGCTGCAGGACTTCTTGGGGAATCGGCCCGAGGGTGGGGGTGGGACAGATGTTACCCGGCCCAGGAGTGACCTCCCGCGACATTTCCCCTCTGCCTCAGTCCTTCACACAAGTGACTCATTCATTAATAACATTTATTTTGGGGCCTGTTATTTGGCAGGCCTCGTGCTAAGGATTTGAAGGTGACCAAATAAGGAGCAACAGCCTGGAGGAGCCTCCCGCCAGAGGGGGCTTCAGGGCAGAGGCACTAGGAGGAATGCTGCCTGACCCCGGGACGGAGTGGCCAGAGGCCTGGCACTCACCGCAAGAGGGGCTGGACAGCAGGCAGAGGCCAGACTTTAAAGCCCCGCTTGTCATTCTGCGGAGTCTGGCCCCCACCGTGGGGCGCCGTAAAAGGAACTTAAGGAGGTACCCGTGTGCACCTCAGAAGGAATATTCTGGTGGCTGTGTGAGGCCAGGCTTCAGGGAGAGCAGACCCTGTTTCAGTGAGTCTGGTAGCGTCTGTCTGCAGGACTACAGAAAGGAGGCCATTGTTTGAGCTGGATTTGGAAGGCAGAATGACCAGATCTGGTGACCGACTGGGCGGGGTGGGGCTGGAGGTGGGGTTGGCAGACAGGCGTCGGAGTGTCCTGGCTAAGGGGCAAGAACGGACCGCAGTCTCCTGCCTGGGACGTTGCAGCCAGGAGGTGGGGCGGTTTGAGGTGTCCCCTCTACCGGCACGTTCAAGGGAACGGTGTGGCTGAGACCACAGGCGTGCAGGCTCGGGAGGTCGGGGAGGGCGGCGGCGAGTGAGTGTCCATGCATGACAATACATGGCGCGATCCTAGGATGCTTGCTAGTGGCCTCCAGCCTCGCCCGGCCCACGGCCCCGTCACCCGTGCAACGCGGGCGGTACCTGTAGTGCGCAGGAAACTGCCACCTCAGCAGCAGCAGGCCCAGGAGGGCGCTAAGGCCCAGCACCAAGAGCAGAGCGGTCACCATGGAGATCCAGGCTGGGGGGGGTGGGGGTGGGAGGGAGAGGACAGGAAAGGTAGTAGCTCCGCCCACCTGACCGGAGCCCCCGCCCACAGCCCGCCAGGCCACGCCCCGACTCCGCCCCTCACCTGGGCAGGGGGCGCGTGAGCGCAGCCGCAGCCGGGTGCGCCCAGAGCCCCGCCCCTCGCGCAGCCGCAGATCGGGCGCTCACCGGTCTCGGAGGCTGTTTCCACCCGGGCTGGTTCGGACCAGGAGCTCCAAGGGCCCTGGTAGGTGGGCCCGTTGAGCCTGGCTCGCAGCTGTAAGCGGTAGCGAGAGCGCGGGCGCAGCTCCAGGGTCCCTCGCCCGGCCCCAAGAGGCGGCTCCAGCACCTGCGTAGAGGGGAATCCTGGGGTGGGCTGGCTTGGGGGGCCGGGGTCTCCAGAGCTCGACGTCTGTTTGAGCTCCCCCCGGCCTGGGATCCCCGCCAAGAGCCTCTCTGGCTACAGACACGCCCTGACCCGGAGCATCTTGGTCTCTTCCCTGCCTGCACCACAGCCTGGCCACACAGACTCCACTTCGCATGCACATCCCACATGCCCGCTCCACCACTCCAGATGGGCCATGGAGATCCAGACACGCGCACTCAAACCCGCACAGGCTGAGCTCCAGGAACACGCAAGCTGCCGGGGATGCCTAACAGGTGCCAGGTGCTGCGAGTAGGAGTGCCGTGTGTGCACACAGCGATTTATTGGCTTAATCACTTAGCGAGCATTTATGAACTGCTCGTAATATGCCAAACATTAGCAAGCCGCTGAGGGAAAGAAAGAGACATAAAACATGGTCTCTCACGTGTCTAACAAGGGAGACATCCAAAAAGTAAATAATCACAACAATTAATTAGTGCAAGTCACCGCGGGAGCACAAAAAAAGCATTGAATGCTGCCTCAGCTGCTTGGCTGGGCGTTACAGCAGCTAGAAGCACGGAGGGAAAGGCTGAGGCTGTGGTCAGAAAATTGAAGACAGAGTACGTGATCCTATCCACATGTTGATAAACAGAGGGCAGGGGAAAGGGGAAAGTAAGAAGTATCAGAGTGGCTCCACGCTGGGTAAGTGCTGGAGATAGAGAACAACTGAAGAACTATTTGACGGCTCCAGTTTATGAACGGGTTGTCAGGATAATGGAGGTAGGAGGGTGACTCGAGTGGTATAAGGAGCTTCTGGGATGTGTTTTAACCTTGGCAATGGTTGTGTGGCTGTACATACAGGTGAAATTTGGACAGGAAGGTTAGGATCAGCTTTGGATGTTTTAAATCTGAACTGTCTGGGGAATAAAGGTAAGAAATCCTATATCCATGTGTTACATGAAAGTGACAATATGGGCCAGGCAGGATGACTCCATGGCTAAATTTTCACCTTGCAAGTCCTGGAATCCTAAGTGGGTGCCAGTTCGTGTCCCAGCTGCTGCACTTCCCTTCCAGCTGCTTGGGAAAGCAGTCGAGGATGGCCCAAAGTCTTGGGACCTTGCATCTGTATGAAAGACCCAGAAGAAGCTCCTGGCTCCAGGCTTCATATCAGCTCAGGTCTGACTGCTGTGGCCATTTGGGGAGCAAATGAGCAGATGGAAGATCTGTCTCCTTCTCTTTATAGATCTGATCTGCCTTCCCAGTAAAAACAAATTAATTTTTTTTTTTTTTAAATTAAGGGGCCCGGCGGCATGGCCTAGCAGCTAAAGTCCTTGCCTTGAATGCCCCGGGATCCCATAAGGACACCGATTCTAATCCTGGCAGCTCCACTTCCCATCCAGCTCCTTGCTGTGGCCTGGGAAAGCAGTTGAGGACAGCCCAAAGCTTTGGGACCCTGCACCCGTGTGGGATACCCGGAAGAAGTTCCTGGCTCCTGGCTTAGGATCAGCATAGCATCGGCCATTGCGCTCACTTGGGGAGTGAATCATTGGACAGAAGATCTTGCTCTCTGTCTCTCCTCCTCTCTGTATATCTGACTTTCCAATAAATGAATAAATTTAAAAAAAAAAATTAGGAATGATGGGGCATGAGCTGGGATAGTGACAGCACAGGTGGCACAAAGGGATCATTTTCTGGTTCAACTTAAAGGTAATGACAGTAGGTGAATTGCTACTTGACTAATGTGTATTAAGCTCCTTCTGTATACAAGGCAGTATTCTAGGTGTTTATGTATTTAATTTTTATGCTAATTCTATCAGTTGGGTAAAATCCTCATTTTACCAGTGAAGAAACTGAATTTTAAAACTTGTTTATTTAAATTTTTGTTCATGGACCCAGTGTGATGGCTCAATGGCTAAATTCTCATCTTGCAAGCATCAGGATCCTATATGGGTGCTGGTTTGTGTCCTGGCTGCTCCATTTCCCACCCAGCTCCCAATTTATGACCTGGAAAAGCAGTGGAGGATGATGAGCCAAAGCCTTCAGACCCTGCACCTGTGCGGGAGAACAGGAAGAAGCTCCTGGCTTCTGGCTCTGCATTGGCTCAGCCCTGGCCATTGTGGCTGCATGTCTCTCCTTCTCTCTGTAAATCTGATCTGGCTTTCCAATAAAAATAAATAGATCTTTAAAAGTAAATAAATTTCTGTTCATCCTGAGCTTATTTTCTTCTTCAAAGCAGATTGATTTGAAAGAGTAAGAGAGAGAGAGAAAGAAATCTTCCATCCACTGGTTTATTTTCCAAGTAGCTGCAATGACAGAACTTGGCCAGGCTGAAGCTAGGAACCAGAAGCTTCTTTTTGGTCTTCCGTGTGCGTGGCAGGGACCCACACATTTGAGCTTTTTTTTTTTTTTTCTTTCCTCAGGCCATTAGCAGGAGCTGGATTGGAGCAGCTACAATGTGAACCAGCACTCAGGTGGGATGCTAGTGTTGAAGGCACCGGCTCTACCTGCTATGTCCCAACTCCGGCCCCAACTTTAAAAGTTTAGATAATTTGCTTGTGACTCACAATTTCATTTCCATGTAGGAGCTGGAATGGTATAATTGGAGTTGTTAATGTGTAGTCATTAAAAGTGTGGAGTTGGGTCCGGCCTTGTGGCACAACAGGTTACTCTGCTGCCTGCAATGCTGCCATCTTTCTCATATGAGTACCACTTGGGTTTCCAGTTGTTCCATTTTGGATCCAGGTCCCTACTAATGTGTCTGGGAAGGCAGTAGAAGATGACCCAAGAGCTTGAACTCCTGAACTCTGTCAAAACCTGGATGGAGTTCCAGGCTCCTGAGTTAGGCCTGAGTCAACACTAGCCCTTAGGCCCAAGTGGGGAATGAACCAGCAAGAGAGCTTACTTACTCTCTCAATCTCTCTTCTGCCTTTCAAAAGAAATAAATCTTAAGTAAATGTAGAATTGAAGCACTTACCCAAAGAGGGCACGTTTATCTGTGTGCGCGTGTCTAAAGAAAACAACCTCGCACTCCAGGAAGCAGAACGGATTTTGGAAGTGTGGACAAGGATGAACCAGGAAAGGAGAAGAAGATCAGGTTCAGGGAGTGAGGCAGAAAATCAGGGGAGACTGAACTCCCAAGGCAAAGGGGAGAGAAGCTTTTGAGTGACAGTAGCCAACAGGGGCAGATGCCCTGGGGAGATTAAGGTACTGGTTCAATCAAGTAGACATAGACATTCAAGCGCAGACATGGATGTATGGACACAGTCATCCTGGATGACAGAATAGCTTGTGTGGTGACATCTGTGAGCGTTTGTCAGCTGACCATACCTTCCAGTCCCGGAGGCCTTCTGCTGTGTAACGGAGCTGATAGCAGGTCTCTCGGGCCGCCCAGGGCGATGCATGCTGCCACTCCAGCTCCAGGTGCCCACTGGAGACCTCCTTCCAGTGCAGGCTTGGTGTGGGAATGAGCACTACAGGGATTTCAGCAGGGACCAGCTTAACTCCTTCTGTGCATGAGGTACCATGCCACCAAGGCAGGGGCCAGACGTGTTGGGTTTGGGGATTCTGGGCCTAGATAGGGTCAGGCTTGGTGGGCCTGAGAACTGTGTGGGAGGAATGGAGAAGAATGTTCTTACCAGCCTGGTGCATCCAGAAAGGGGAGCCCAGGTAGCTGTGAACAGCACCCTGGGCTGTTGTCACCTCCACACGGATGTGAATCACACTGTCATTTTGTGACCTGAAGTGGCAGCGAGAGAGCTGGGGAAGCTGTGGTCCTGGGGTTGTTGTCTCCTCTTCACACTTCTCCCACCGTGGGTCCCTGAGAACCAGCCATGTAGTCATTGACTCAGGCCTATCCGGGCTCTGTCAGTCGCATCTGACCTCTGCATGGCTCCTGGGGCCTGCATGGATCATCATCTACCCTCTCTTTTAGACGGGCCTCTAGGGCTTTCCGTCCATCTTCGTGCCATGAAGTATTGTTTCCTGGAGTCTACTTTGCTGTCTAGCCTGTTCCTCTTGAAAAGGCTGGTATGATGTGTGAAAATAGCATGGGGCTTGGAGCCAGCATTGTGGGTTAAGCATGTTGCAACACCAGCGTTTTAGAGGGGCAATGGTTTGAGTCCCAGCTGCTCTACTTTCAGTACAGCTCTCTCTCATGATGTGCCTAGGAAGTGAGCAGAAGATGCTGCAGGTCCTTGGGCCTCTACACCCGCAGGGGAGCCTGGGATGAATTTCCTGGCTCCTGTTCCAACCCTGACTATTGTAGCCATTTGGGGAGTGATCCAGCAGATGGAAGAAAGATTCTCTCTTTCTCTCCCCTTTAAAATAATTTCTTTCTTTCTCGCCTTTAAAATAAACAGATCTTTTAAAGATCTTAAAAACAACAGTAACAGGGCCCAGTGCCGTGGCCTAGTGGCTAACGTCCTCCCCTTGCACGCACCGGGATCCCATAAGGACACCGATTTTAATCCTGGAGGCTCCACTTCCCATCCAGCTCCGTGCTTGTGGCCTGGGAAAGCAGTTGAGGACAGCCCAAAGCCTTGGGACCCTGCACCTGCATGGGAGAACTGGAAGAGGCTCCTGGCTCCGGATTGGCGCAGTACCGGCCATTGTGGTCATTTGGGGACTGAATCATTGGAAGGAAGATCTTCCTCTCTGTCTGTCCTCCTCTTTCTATATATCTGACTTTGCAACAAAAAAAACCCATAAACAAAACAATAACCAAGCCCTTCATCTTTCAGGAAAAAAAAAATCCTTCTGTTTTTGTTTTGCTTTTTTTTTTTTTTTTTTTTTTTAAAGATTATTGTTTGTTGGAAAGTCAGATTTTGAAAAAATCTGGTTTCCAGGCTGAAGCCAAGAGCAGGAGCTTTATCTAGGTCTGTGTAGCTTTAGGGACCCAAGCACACTGGGCTGTCTTCTCAGGCTATTATTAGGGAGCTAAATCAGAAGTGAAGCAACCAGGCTTGAAATTATGGGCCTAAGGGATGCTGGCATCTGGGAAGGCAGCTTAACCCTCTCTACCACAATGTTGGCCCCCATTTATTTGAAAAATGTGAATCATGTTACATCAGGTTTAAAACTGTGCAGTGGTTCCTCATCTCACGTAGAATGAAATCCAAGCTGCATAGGGGCCTGTAGGATTCTGTAGATGTGCTTCCTTGCCGTTCTCACCTCCTGGGATTCCCTCGGCAGGTTCATGCGCTCATTGTCATGAGCCTTCTCTCTGTGCCGCAGCTGTACCAAATGCACCTGCCGGCCCTGATCGCTCTGTCTGTAGGTATTCGTGTGACTCAGTCCTGCCTGGCATTTAGACCTCGGCTCACCTGCCCCCTCCCTGCTGAGGCTTTTCCTGACCATGAACACCACCTCACCCTTTAGTCCTTGTCACCTAACCTGGTCACTTTATTTCTTGTTTGTCTCCTCCCTCTTCCTCATTACTATTGAAATACAGTCCCTAAAAGGGCGGCACCTTTTAGGGTATCATCCTTAATAGTTTATAGAACAAATTATAATCCCTATGGGGCTCATTGTCCCTAAACTTGCTTATCACTATGTGTGTATTTATGTACATCTACTTACTCAACAAATGGTTGACAGTACTTTTCCCGGGTGAGTCTGGACATGGAACATCTTCAAGGAGCTCTCATTTCAATGGGAAAACACATTTTTCTATGGCGTGCAAAGGGCTGACTTAGGAACATCTAACCCAGGCTGGGAGGGTCAGGAAGTGCTTGCTGGATAAGGCAATGTTTAGATGGAGTCTTGGGCTATAAATAGGGTAGGTAAAGGAGACGAACAGGCAAAGGAGATGAACAGCCCAGATAGCAGAGTGCAGTGCTCGAGGGTGGTAAGGTTACACGCCAGATCCTGGATGACAGGTGATCTTTCCAACAAAATGTCATGGCTAGCTTTGTACTTAGGCAAGCTCACTCTACCTGCGGTTTGCAGAAGGGATTTGCGTGGGGAGAGTAGAAGCTGGGAAATCTTTTTGAAGAACTGTTGTGCTTCTTCATGTGCACAGGGCTGAGGGCCTGAAAATTGGGCAGAAACAGAGAGGACCGAAAGAGGTAACCAGAGAGACTGAGGGGTAGCAATGGCAGACAGCTTCTAATTGCGGCTGGACGGTGTATGGATGGGAGAGGTCCAGAGTGATTGCAGTGGGTCAAGCCTGGAAAAAATTCACTAATGCTAGGAAGGAGGACACTGAACGGAAGAGGGTGTTTTCAGTAGAGGAAATGATGATTAATCCATTCATGCACCTCTACACTACGGACATCTGTCAGTTATTAAAAGGAAGCAGTTATTTGGTAATGATCTTTGAGACAAGTTTTTAAGTGAAAAGTAAAATAGCAAGAAACCATGTATGTGATTTAACTTATATGTTAAATGTTTATTCATTTTTTATTGGAAAGGCAGATTTTACAAAGAGAGAAGGAGAAACACACAGAGAGGTCTTCCATCTGCTGTTTCACTTCCCAAATGGCTGCAATGGCCAGAGCTGAGCTGATTCAGTAACTGGGAACCAGAGATTTTTTGCTGGTTTCCCACATGGGTACAGGGTCCCAAGGACTTGGGTCATTCTCCACTGCTTTCCCAGGCCATAAACAGCTGGATAGGAGGTGGAACAGGTGGGACACAAACCAGAACCCATATGGGATGCTGGTGTTAGCAGGCAGAGGGTTATTTTGCTATGCCACTTTGCTGGCCTCAACCTAATTTATATTTTAAAATTAGATATTGTTTGAAACATACAAGGGATCTTCAAAACATTCATTTTAATTTACTTGAAAGAGTTACAAAGAGAGGAAGAGAGACACGGGGAGGGAGAAAAAGAGATGGAGAGAATCTTCCAATTACTGAGTCTCTCGCCAAATGGCCACAACAGACAGGCCTGGGCCAGGCTGAAGCCAGGAGCCTAGGATTTCTTTCAGGTCTCCCATGTGGATACATCCTCATCTGCTCTCCCAGATGCATTAACAGGGAGCTGGATGGGAAGAGGAGCAGGTAGGATTAGAACTGGCGTCCATACAGGATGCCAGCGTTGTATGGCTATTATGACATATATCAGCCCGCCCATGAACTTTGAAGAGTATCTTCATATGCAAATGTATAGAAAAAGCTAGAAAAATGCTTTAAAATAATAAATTTCTGAAATTAGGCATTCGACAGTTTTTTTTTTTACTAAGCTTTACTATCTTGGAGGCACTCTTGAGATGAGACTATATTTGTGAATAAAAACACTTTGGCTTTGCCCTCATGGGTCATACACTTTTATAGTCAAGGACATCCTTTCTCCATTAGCATTCTGAGAGATAATTTTCTCAAAGATTTAGTTGAGAGACTTACAGAGAGAGGGAGGCAGCAAGCTCTCATTTGCTAGCTTATTTCCCCAAGGGCCCATGATGGTTGGAGCTGAGTCAGGTCTAGGTCTCCCTTGGCAAGGACCCACAGCCACTGGAGCGATCACTTCTTGCCCCCCAAGAACAGCATTAGCACAAAGTTGGAACTGAATGTGGATGGGCACTCAAGTCCCATCTTAACCAGTCCCTTAATCGCTAGGTCAAACACCTGCCCTGACAGACAATTATTTTCATCAGTGAAATAATCACTTCAAGTATAAATGTTGAAATTGTAACCTTGTGGTTGGTATTGTGACATAGTGGGCTAAACAGCTACCTACAACACTTGCAATCCCATATGGGCACCTGTTTAGTCCAACCCAACTCCCTGCTAGTGTTCCTGGGAAAGCAGTAGAGGATGGACCCTGTACCTATGAGGGTGACCTGGAAGAAGTCCCTGGCTCCTAACCTAGCCCTTGTCATTGCAGCCATTTGGGAAGTGAATCAGCAGATGAAGTATTTCTCTCTCTACATCTTGTTATGTCTTTCTGTAATTCTGCCTTTCAAATAAATAAATATTTTAAAATAAAATAAAATGGTAATCATTGGGGGACTGGCATTGTAATGTAGCTGGTAAAGTTGGTGCCTGCTGTTGCTAGCATCCCAAATCGGCACCAGTTTATGCCTTGGCTACTCCACTTCCAATGCAGCTTCCTGCTAATGGCCTGGGAAAAGCAGCAGAAGCTGGAAAAAGTGTCTGGGCTTCTGCCACCTGTGTGAGAGACCCAGATGAAGCTTTGGGCTTTGGCCTGGCCCAGCCCTATTGTGGCCATCTAAGGAGTGAGCCAGTACATGGAAGATCTCTCTTCTGCTCTCGATATCCCTCTATCACTGTAACTCAAGTAAATAACCAAACCTTAAAAATTGTAAGTATGCCAAGTACTTAGAAGCAGAGGTACATTGCATGACAGGAATGTAAAATGGTACTGTTTCATCTAATGAGGCAGGTCAAGGGCAGGTTCTCTGCAGAAGTAACAGTGCAGAAGTAGAAGTTAAGGTGGGAGAGGTAACTGGCCAGCACACGCAGAGATCCAGAGGCAGGAAGGAACATTGCAGAGATGAAGGGACTCAAGAAGGCAGTCCTGGAACATTAAGAGCAAAGGATGGCATAGAAGAAGATGATGCTGGAGGCTAGTTTGTGGTGAAGCAGATAAAGCCACAGCCTGTGACGCTAGCATCTCTTATAGGTACCAGCTTGTGTCCTCGTGTTTTACTTCCAATCCAGCTCCCTGCTACTGGCCTGTGAAAGCGGCAGAAGATGATCCAGTGCTTGGATCCCTGTCAGCCACATGAGAGATTCAGAAATTCTTGGCTCCCAGCTCCTGACTTTGATCTGGTCTAGCCGTGGCTGTTGCGGCCATTTTGGGGAGTGAATCAGTGGATTAAAGATCTCTCCTTTCCCCACTCCTGGTCTTTCTCTCCTTCTTGCTGTAACTCTGCCTTTTAAATAAATAAATAAACAGATAAGTAAATATTTTAAGAATGACACTGAGGAGGGAGGTGTCCATGATAGAGTCCTTTTCTGTATCCTAAGGTCAGTGGGAAGCTGTTGAAGGTTTTGAAATGAGAATCTTTTGCACTTTTAAAACATCATCCCAGTTCCTACGTTGAGAAATATTTGGAGGATAGCTCAGTTGATCCTCAAGAGAGGATCACTTACTAGATCTTTTCAGTAGCCCAAGTGAGGGATGATGAAGGTTTATATGCAAGTAATGACAGATTCTAGGGATATTTAATGGGTCAAAGTCAACCCGGCTTGTTTATAGATTGTCTAGAGGGGTGAAGGATCAGTGGGGTATTTGACAGAAGTCCTGGAAGGCCAGGCTAGGCTGCTTATAATCTAATAGATCTTGGAAAATTACAAGACAAATTTGATTAGGGAAAAAGCATGCAAAGTTCAAGTTTTGCAAAACAAACATGCAAAAGGTTAAGCTTAACTAAGGTCCCCCTGAGGCAATATAGGATGGGAAGTTGGAGGTGAGACTATAAGCGTTTGCTATCATCAAGATGTCACAATTAAGGCTGAACTAAAACTTGGGATATTCCTAGTGGAAATGGAGAGAGGTTGAGAGAATAAAAAGCCCACTGGAAGATGATGGAATAGTTTCTACAGTGGCCGGGGAGGAAGGGGCTCTTTGTTTTGGTAGAAGGGGGAGGGTGAAGAGGACCAAGACTGGTCTCTCATTTCTGCAAGCTCGTGTCTCTCTCTCCCATACCACCGAACTCTATTGAGCAGTTTAACCCTCACCTGTTTCTGGGGCAGCACTGTGCCCGGCTGTGGTAGAAGAAGCCTTGGGAGCTAGAAAGGTCCTGTTGCTGCCACTGACAGGTAACATTCTTCAGGTCCAAGGTAAAGCATTGCAGTCCAATTTCCACTGGGGTCAAAGAAGTAAGTTCCGTCAGGGCCATGTGCCCCTGTCCTGACAGTCTCTAGATCATCACACACCTAAGAATGCTTCCTCTTGCTCACTCTTCCCTCCCTGCACACAGATCATGCTGTGCAGCAGCAAGGATGAGGGCATTGAAAAAAGGCCTTCCAGAGCCTGCCTATCCAGGCCAAGCCTCCCTGGAGAGCTTTTCCAGCTCTCCCCCGCCCCACCCATTTTCCCCAATTCCTTTGTTAACTCACCTGCATCCCCAGGCAGATCCACTGTCACCGGGAAGGACCAGGATCCCCAGGAGCCATGAAGGGAGACCCCATCAGGTTGGCTACGCAGCTGGAGCCAATAGGACTTGCCAGGTTGGAGCCCCGAGATGAGACAGCTTCCACTCGTTGCTGTCACAGATGGGGTCTTGGGAGGAAGATGTCAGCATTGGCATTGAGGCCTGCCTCTAACTGAGGTAGCCTGCAGCCCCCGGTGGAGTGGAACTCACTCAGCAATCTCTCGGATAGAGAGGCATAGAGACAAGGGACCCAGGCCCATGAGTTTTTAGGTAGTGTTTAGGTTTTTGATTTGTTTTAAGGAAAATCTCCTTTGTTTGGAGGCCTGTAATGTTGTCAGCATGAATAACCTGAAGTGGGGGACTCTCCCTCTAGAATAGACACTGCCGCCAAGGGCTTGTCAGAGCCTATGTGACTCCTCTGGGACTGGCTCACCAAGTAGCCTGCCTGCTCTCTGGGTGCAGGAGCTGGAAGGCGGAGCAGAAGGAGGCCAGCATACCTGTCCACCTGTGGAGGCGTGTGTTGGTCTGTCCTGTTGGGGCACTGCGTGAGGATCACACAGAGGCTGGTGCAGACCGGAGACTGGGTGCTGCCTCTGCAGCGTGGGGCAGCAGGTTTCTTTGGTAAGCAGTTTCATGACTGTGGGACCGCTGGAGTTCCTGGGATCCATGGGCCCATAGCGGAGCTCGTGCCTCAGGAATTCGTGGATCGCTGGGGCCGCAGCTTCCCAGCTGACCTGCAATTCCCCAGGCTGTCTCCCTCCCATGGCCAAGATGATGCTGGGGGGAGCTGGCAGGCCTGAGGGAGAGTGGGGCCTGTCAGACCCTCAGTCCGCAGCTCAGCCCTGCTCTGTGGAGAGCGGGGCTGAGAGCTGAACCAGGGAAGGCTCTGGATCCTAAAGTTTGCAGACTAAGGATAAGGGAGGGAGGAGACCTCACTAGAGTCTAACAGTCCCCTGGTGCCCTGGGAGGTAGGGACCTCTTCATGCCTGCTTGTCTATGCCACTTAGCACAATGCTTGGCACGTAGTAGCCATTCTGTAACTGTGAGCTGGGTGAGTAGATGCCCATGTTAGTGATGGGAGTCCAGGGCATCCCTGGTGTGAATGATCTGTGGGCTGAGTCTAGCTCAGGATGCCAAGGTTGGAAGAAATGATGAGGGGTTCTCTGGGTGACTCTGGCAGTCTGACCCTTGGAGTGGGGAGCTTCCGGTGTGTCCCAAAAGAGCATGTACAAATCTGCTCGTGGGCACTGGCTTGTGAGTGCTGGAGGGCAGGGAGGGGCAGAAGCCCTTACCAACACGCTCCACAGACAGCACACGCTGGGTCACGTTCTGGTTCAGGAACACGTTTTTAACCCAGAGGTGGAGTGGCATGAAGAGGCGAACTTCATCCTGGGCTGGAAACTGGCACACATACCGGATTCCAAAGGAGGTCACCGTCTGAGGACTCAGGGGACAGGCACGGGGCTTCTCCCTGTTGACATAGGAGCAGTCTTACCTACAGGGCCACCATACTTACCCTGAGGATTCAGGCCTGGACCTGCACCATCAGCACTAGTCAGTTTCTTCTTTGCTTGAGACAGGTGGGAATAGGGCTGGAGTAGGGGCTTGAGCCCAAGATCCAAAGCACTTCTACTCACGAGGAAGCTATTTTGTGCAGCGATTCTCCAATAGAGCCAAGGACAGGGAAGCTCCCAGAGTGGGATGCTGCTAAGCTGTGTACAGGGACAGCTGTCTAGGAATGGGGCCCAGCCCAGCACCTACCCTCTGTAGGCATACAGCAGCTGGTATGTTCCACTGGGCGCTGCCTGTTTCTCCTCCCAGAAGCAAGTCAGGTCCTCAAAGGTTCGGGAGAAGCAGTTGAGGGTCTCAGAGTCCAAGGCCGGCAAGGAGACATCTGAGAAACAGCTGGTTAGTGGAGTCCTGCATGTTCCATGCATGCGTGCTTGCAGGCACCAGTAGGGACCAGTGGAGTCTCCTGCCTTACCCCACCTCCTGGGGCCCTGCATCCCCTCCCAGGGCTCCCCCTCCCTGGGCACAGGTGATCTGTACCCTCTGCACACCTCACCTTGGCTGGTAACTTGTGCCAGGCTTTGGGGAGCCAGGAGGAGGCAGGAGGTGACCATGAAGAGGGCCCAAGAGGGCATCTTCTCCGGCACTGTGTGCCTGCCTCTGCCCATCCTCCCTTCAGGAAGCCGGGCCCCAATACCCTCCCGCGGCAGCCCCTTAGGTTCCTGTCAGATACAGCCCCACGTCCTGTCCCTGTCCCTGCCCCTCTGGGGCCCATCCAGACCACACTGGGGCCAGGGGCCAGGGAAGGGGGAGTGGGTAGGAAGGTAGGAGGAATTTAAAACAGAGGGTGTAAGCCTGGTGGGGAGGAAGATGGAGTTGGTGTGCATGCGCATGTGTGTGGACGTGTGTGTATGCATATATTTTGAGATTTATTTATATATTTGAAAGGCAGAGCAACATAGAAATACAGAGGGAGGAGAGAGAGAAAGTTTGATCCACGTGTCCATTCCTGAAATGACTGCAATATCCAGGTCTGGGCCAAGCCAAATCCAAGAGCCAGGAACTCCATCCTGGTTTCCCACATAGGAGGCAGCGGCCCAAGTACTTGGACCATCTTCTGCTGCCTTCCTAGGTGCATTCAAAGGAAGCTGGATCAGAAGCAGAGGAGCCAGGACTCAAGCAGGCATGGGAATATGGGCTGTAGGCATCCCAAACAGTGGCCTAACTGGCTATCCCGTAATATCCACATTGTGGGGGGGTATGTGTTTGAACACCAAAAGAAAAGTGAGTCTGTCTATACTTGAATGTTTTCTGTTCTAGAAGGCCAAGATCAGGGATTTACTGAGCATTCCCCACACTTCTGTGTGTTAAGCAACATTTCAATTGATTTAATCCTCAGTCTTACTTCCCTTGCATGGATGGGGACCCTCAGATGCAGAAAGTTAAGGATCTACCCAAGATCACATACCTGGGAGGAAATCAAGCTCAGGAATCCACAGCCCACAGTCCTGGCCACTGTGTCATGCACCTGGATCTGTAGCTCGTTGAAGGGTGACCTTCTGCCTTACAACCTTAGTAACAAGGTTGATATGTCCACCTTGATAGGTTCTTACAGAAAGATCCACATTTCCCTTGGAATTGGCCATGTGGGCAGCCTCAGTGGAGGGCCTGCTACTTGCTGACTGCTCATGGTTGGTCTGTGCACCAGCTGTGAAAGACTGCCTTGGGATCTGTTAGAAACGCAGAGTCTTAGACCTTGCCCTGGACCTACTAACCGAGAATCTGCATTCTGCAACCCCCACCTCCAGAAGTTTGCATGCTGAAGTTTGGAGGTAAGGGTCTTCAGTGCTCCAAATGCTGTGCTGAGTCATGGGATGCTTGGTCTCAGTTGAGCTTGTGTACGTCTTCTCATCGGGAGCACAGTGTCTGAACCCCTACCTCCTCCTCCTGGAAGCGCTGTTAGCTATGGGTAGTTTTATGTTGTTTCGGGGAGCTTTGACTCTTATGGGGAGAGGGTAGAGTGAGGGAGAGAGTTGGAGTAGGAAGTGGAAGGGAGTGGGAGTGATGGGCAGAGCTGTATTAAGGCCTACAGGTGGACTCTCGGGCCTTGGCTCCTGCTCCCATTGTAGGCTATACACTCACATGTCTGGTATATAACCTTACTCCCTGCCTCCTTCAAAGTGAATTTTACTAGTAGATACAATTGTAGGAAGGCATGTGAGGTGTGAGGATGGGAGATAGGAAGCACTGTTAGTCTGCGAAAGTCCCTGCATCAGGTTTGTCCAAAGCCCTGCTTCATGTTCAAGTCATAAGAACTGATGGCAGTAATTCTGGGAGTCTCCTGCCTTCTCAGCCTTCTGTGAGGTCAAGTGAGAAGGGAAGCACATCTCTAGTGTTCATGTAGCCTCCTGGCTCTGTGCGTTGCATACATGCTGATAACTTCAACACTACTATCCCGTGTGTGACTTCTCCTCAGGACTATTTGGATAGCCAACTGCCCACTGGAGTAGACACTTGAGTGTCTCAATAAACATCTTTTAAAAAAAATAAATTTATTATTTGATGATTTTACATAGTTGAAGGGATGCATGTCCATGTAGACCAATGATTAGGGTGGGAAGGGTTGAGGAATGGGAGGAAAGTGCATGAGACAATTGCTTCCAATTTTCTTTTTCTTCCTGTGTTTGGGGATAGTAGGAATAGAAGGGAAGAGGGATGTTCCCAGCATCCTAATCATATCAATACTTGGGGATGGGGATGGCCACTTGATTTTATCCCAGCATCCTCGATGTGGAGCATGTTCTACAGGTACTGCTTAAATAGTTTCGGTAGTGCTAAGATACTGTTGATTTTGTTGCTCCAAGGTTGAGGAAATTCTTCCAAGGTCCATTGGTTGACATAGTACACCTTAGATTTTCCACTAGGCCAGATACTTGCTGTCAAAGCTTGGCAGGGGAGTTGTCCAATTTGTTCTGCCCCCTATCCTCCACCATGCCACCAGATGTTTTCTGCAGGCCTCAATGAGCTGTCATGTCCCCTGTGTGTATCTGGGCATGCTGTCTACTGCACTATCTTCAGTAAGTGAGGAGGCCCAGTTCTGATGCATTCCAAGGTCAGACCACAGACCCTGTGATTTTCCCCATGGTTGGAGTTTTGAGTTCAGTGGTCCAGTTCAGGGATCCCCAAAGAAACCTCTTGAGAGGTAACCTGACTCCTGTGTGTGCCAGCCAGTGTGGGATTTGGGTCAGTCCTTCACCCACATCAGCCAACGCACATACTGGTGCTTGCAGTCCCCTGGTCAGTTCTGTCTCTAGCCCCATCTCATATGCAAAACAATGGATGCTGTGGCCCAGCCTTACCCTGCCCACCAAACACTAGGCACTCACACACACTAGTGGGAACTGTAGCCTAGTTGGAGCAATCCCTAATAACCTCCCACCAGGCTTGCCTTCAGCCCTGGTTCTGCACATGCCAGTGTGTGCAGCAGACTGGTCCAGTCCTTCATGCATCCCATTTGGCTTTTGTACACACCAATGGGTGCTTCAGCCAACTCAGCTCAACTGACCCCACTATACAGCCCACATTCATGCTGGCAGGTGCTGCCTGTTCCTCCAGCCCTGGTTCTCATGCTCACTAGTGGGAGCTGCAGCCCATCAGAGAAGTTCCCAGATTTTCCCTACTGGGCCCACTCCCAGCCCTGGTTCTTGAACTTTTCAGGTGGTACTGTGCTCCAGCCTGACTGGACTTGTCCCAGTCCTGGCACTTGCCTGCTAATGTTGCAGCAAAGCCTGGTCTGCACTTACTGTGGCTCATGCATACACCAGCAGATATGGTCACCTATCCCAGCTTGGCTCTCCCCCTAACCCACCTCATAGGCAGATTGACAGGTGGTATAGCCCTGCCCAGCCTGGTCTTTTCCCAGTCCAGCTCTCATGTTCACTAGCAGGAGCAGTGGCTCAGCAGGGGAGCCCCCACAGTTCTCCCTACCAGGCTTGCCCTCACCCCTTGAGTGTTGCATGTGATGGTGGGTGCTGTGGCCCAGCCTTACCTTGGCATTTGCTGGTCAGTCCAGCCAGCCCCAATCATGACCCTAACATGAATTAGCTGATGTTGTGGCTCAAGCCAGCCTGTCTCACACCCCATCCTGGTTCTCACATTCAGCAGTGGGTGTTGTGAACTAGCCCAGTCTACCCCCAGAATTGAGCCACACATATGCCAGCAGGTACTATAACCTGGCCTGTCTGGGCCACTCCAAGCCTCAGTTTTTGTGTTTACCTGCAGAGACTGCATGTTGACAGAGGAGTTCCCCAAGCTCCTCCCAGGCCACCTCCCAGTTGAAGATCTTGCACAGACCGGTGGGTACTTGGCCCAGCCTGACTTGGCCCACCTTATGTCCTGGCATTCACCAACAGCTGCAGTGGCCTTGGCCAACTGTCCCACACGCATTCTGATTTTTAGCATTGGGTGCCACAGCCCAGTCTCACCTGGCCCACTCCCCAGATCCAGCTTTCATGTAGTTCAGCAGGTGCCAAGACCTAGTCCAGCTTGTCCTATGCCCACAGTAGCTCTTTCAAGTACCAGTAGATGCTGGAACCTAGCCCAGTCTGGTATACCACAGGACCCAGTCCACACACATGTTGAGGAATGCTGCATCCATGTCGAGCCAAGCTCACCACTCCCATTCCAACTCAAGCTCACCAGTGGGAACTGAAGCCTCAGCAGGAGCATCCCCGTAGCCCTCAACCAGGCCTGCTCCCAACCACAGATTTTGCACATGCTGGTGGTTGCTCTGATCCAGCCCAGTTTGGTCCATCTCCCATCTTGGCCTTTGTCATCAGATGCTCCAGTCTGTCCCTAGTCCCAACTCTAACTGGTGGGTGATGCAGCCTAGCCCTGCCCTATCTGCCCCCATCCCCAGCTCATGCAAATAGCTAGGTACAGAGCTTATCTCAGCATGGCCTGCACCCTGTCCTTGCTCCTGTGCATACCAATGTGTGCTATGACTTGACCTGGCCTTGTCTGATCTGCCTTCCTAGTCAGCCCATATACCTGCTGACAAGTGGAGCAGCCCTGCCTGGTCTAGCCCACACCCTGTTCCAACTCCTGTGCTCACCAGCAAGAGCTACAGCCAAATAAGGGAGTCCCTCAAATTCCCCCACCAGGCCCACTCCCAGAACTGGATCTCATGCATTTCAGTAGGTGCTTGGGCTCCCTATCTAGCACTATCTCCTCAGCCCCCTGATCTTGGCCTTTTGAGTGATGCTGGATGCTGCAAGCTGGCCCATCCCCATCCCTAATTCTTTGGTATGCTTGCAGGTGCTACAACTTGGGCCAATCTGGCCTACTCTGGACCCTAGCTCCCATCACCACCCCCACCTCTCATACAAACCAACAAGTACTGCAATACTAAAGGAACGAGTCTGCAAATTCCCCTCAGAATCTGCCCAAGATCTGGTTCTCTCATGCGCTGATTAGTGTCTTGGCCTAGCTTTACATGGCTCAACCCCTGCCCATACACTCACTGATACTGTGGCCTAGTCCTGCCAGGCAGGATCCACAGCTCTAGCTTTTGTATATGCCAGTGGGCTCTATCCCATGTAGGTAGCTGTCCTGGTCTGACCCAGGCATGTCCTCCGGCTTCACCCAC